CGAAGAAAATAATAAATAAAAAAGCAAGACTGACACAAACATACATGATAGAAAACACACAAGTGAATAAAATTCCTTACACAAAACATCACTGTTACACTACATGTGTCACACAGCATCATATAGTTGCAACTAAAAACATATTTGAAATATTATAAGCTTGAATATGCTGCTCCTGAGCAAGAAATTTGTTCTCTTTTGATAGAAGAAAACATATTTGAAATATCAATAAAGACAATCATTAATATTCTGTGTGCAAAAAGCCACAGTTTGCCCGAAAAGGTGCTATTGCATGCATGGTAACATAAGCCTTTCCTGCTTGTTCTGATGACCACAAGGCCGGAGGCTACCTCAAAACCAATTCCCTAGGGAATGCATTCATGCAATTTTTGAAATTCTTTCAAAGCGATCGCAGTACTTACACAAATGCCTCCGCCCCTCAGGCGTCGCCAAAAAAAAAAGAAAGCCATGATAAAAAAGCCTAAAAACATGCCAAAAATAAGCCAAAACCCAAACCTCTGCTTGGAGAGATGTCATTCCCCTGGAATCCCCCACCTGTCCACAGACATGATGAAACCCTGATGTTTGTTATGACAATCCTGAACCTGCTTGTCATCAGTTACAGCATTGTTTAGTGTTTTTGTACCTTCCTGTTTTTTAACGGACAAAAATGCCAGCTCATCAAGTCTGCTATGCTAACGTTTGCTGTGCTGTCAGTCTGTGTGTTTGTATGTGGGCAGAGTTAAACATGACAATTTACATGTAGCATGTAGTAACATGTAGTGGTGTTGTGTCTTTAAATGGGACAAAAACTAATATACCTTTTTATGTACATCTAGTAACCTATGATGCCAGTATACATTTTACCTTTTCCCTTGGTTCTTTTTTGTTTGATCTTTCTCAATTAGATCAGCTTATTTTTTTACTCTCAGAACCAGCAACTTGAATTATTGTGGCCTAGGATTCCTCTTAAAATTCCTTGTAGTAGTATTAACTGTGACACTCACTTCCAAATGTCTGGAAGTCATTTAAGCAAAAAAAATGACCCCAACCTTCACCTACTTTCCCAGCAAGAAGGTCACCAAGTTAGAAGGTCAAGTTTAAGTTCTTTCTATCTTGAGCAAACACTTAAGACATAAATCTCAGACTTACTGCTTTAAGACATAAATCTTATGTGCCAGTAAGATGTGTAAATCTTGTTGTTTTGGCCTGCAGGTCATCTAAGATGTTGTTGTTTTCCTTAACCTGTTCTAACCTGTTGTGTGTTGAGGTGTGTAAATGTCTTGTGTCTATAGACTCTTTATTCTGAACAACTTGTTTTGTACCAAAGTGTCGAGTCGACAACAGTCTTGTTTTCTGTAGCATAGAGTTGTGCAATCACTGATTTATAAACTCGTATGGTTCTATAACTCATTTTCACCTGAATCAAGTGAGGAAAATGGGGTAAAGTGCCTTTCTGAAGGGCACAACACTGGCAACTGCTTGGGATTCGAACCCAGGACCTTTAGGATCCAAAGCAATAACCCTAACTACAAAATCCCTACATTCTACCTTGTCCTAGCAATCACTGATACATAAAAGCTTTAAGTTTAGATACTCATGTTCACCTGAGGATAATTTTTAATTAGGGGTAAAGGGCCTTTCCCAAGGACACAACACTGTAGCTGCTAGGGATTCGAACCCAGGACCTTTTGATTCTGAGTCAACAACCCCAACCACAAGACCACCTTAAAACACTGTACCTGCTCCTGTTGTTGTTGGCCCAGTTGTAAAGGTGATAAATAACCTGAGACCTTGAGATGTCACCTGCTGTTATCCTCTTGACAGGTGTTTGTGGTTGAGAGGTTATTGTCTTGATAAGTTGTGCAAACGTCTTATAAGTGATGAGCTGTGATTCCTCACAGGTGTGCTTACCTGGGTTATGTGTTACCTGGTCTAGGGTAACTCCTTATGCAATCTTCTGGCTCGTTTTGATCCTCACCAAAAAGATGATGTTCCCCCAGTAGTATCATATAGACTACACTAAAACATGTAGCTATATAGCCACACAAACATTGTACAATTCTATAATTCATAATCTGCTCCAGGATAACTTCAATCTTTAATCTTCAGGCTTGTTTTGGTCCTCACCAAAAACATGATGTTTGAATTGTTTCCCCAATAGTGTGATAAGAGATTTGTCTCACATTCCCTACAGTAACAGCCACACAAACATTGTACAATTCTATCATTTATAATCTTTGAAGTAAGCCCCTTTCTGAAAAAAACAATTGCCCTATACACACGTATGTACTGCCCCTTTTGTAGTGTCCAGGGCCTACACTGGCCAGCTTCTCAGGGTCTAGCTTAGGGAATAGGAAGTTGTATCTCCTTGGAGGTACATTGTACATGTATGTTGGCCCTGGAGCAGCCTTGCCTGTGTAGGCCCTGGAAACAGTCTGGCACCCAGGCTACTAGTTATCCCCTGCACAGTAGAAACAGTCAGCTGTCATCAGTTCTGCCTAACTCTCCTCCTTCCCTCCCAAGGGAGGGGCTGTGGTCAGTAACATTCAGCTGAGTCAGCAGTCTTCATTATCCTTTTAACCATTGATAGCCGTATTAGTTCAAAGAGAATGTCCAGGCTTTAGTTTGGTTTAGTAAACTATTTTTGTTCAACAACATATTTATGAGAGAAATGGAAATAGAAAGCTTCTAAGTTCATTAGATGTTCCAAATTCTGTTCCACAGGAGATGTTTTTGTGTTGACCACAGCCCAGTCAACATGAACCCCCTGACCACTTGTGGTTGTGGGAGGAGCTGTGGTCAGTCTTATCAAACAAACACCCAGCTGGGCTTGTGATGTAAACAGACTGGCCAAAGGGTTGTTTTGGTGGAAGGATGTTTTTATCTTTCATATTAGGAGATGGTTTTTGCTTGAATTTTCTGTTGTATAAAGATCATTCAGTGACAAGCTCAAAATCTGCCAAAACTATTTTTTTACTTGTGTGTCAACTATTTTTGAAAAGAAAGTAACATGGAAAAGCTTTGTAGGGTAGTTTTTTTTCTACAGTCATTGCAGAACTTTCTTGCAAAAATTTCTGTCTTCTTGACTAAATCTAACATTTAGGAAATGGTATGTCTATGCATTTGGTGATTCCTTGTATCCATTTCTCTTTTTCTCCAACTGCTTTAGACACTGCCTCATTTTTCAGCACTGAGTCTAAATGTAAATCATATCCTAAAATTTTGTATAGTGTTTTGTCATGTCCTGTAGTTAGCCTATAAAGAGCATAACAGTACAATAAATGTCTTTCATCATTATACCAAAGCCCCCTGAATAGAGAATAGATTCTCCTAATCCTGTAGTGAAAGCCCAGTCAGCTGTTTATCAGCTGGGAACAACAAAGGGATTAGGTTTCTCCTCCTGTTTTGAAGGGAACTCCAAGGACCTGATTAATATGCATAATTACAACAGCTGGGAGCTCTTACAATTTTCCTGACAATTGCACTGTATATGGGATTATCATTCATAATGAAGATTTAAGTCTACTTTACCATTATAGTAAGTGTGGGAAATATCGGTGAAGGTTAGACATCCAGGTAATAAGATACTCCAAAAGCAGTTACTCAAGCAACTGGATATGATTTTATCATCATTGCTACAATGGAAAACTTTGTGGTCATTGCTACATTGTATTTGAACCATCTGTTGAGTTCACAGAAAAAAAAGCTAAAAATAGCAGTTACTACCTAGCGATGAGCATGCTCAGTAGGTACCCAGGAAAAGCAGGATATTTTTATCCAATCACAGCGCAGCATTTCCTGGTCATGGTAACCACATCCTTTGTTATCTCAGACAACAGAGATGTGTATCAACCCAGACATACACACCACCAAATACACTGGGATTATAGGCAGATCCAAGTTACTTCCTTGGTTTTTGATTATCAGAAAATAGGAGCACGTCAGTAGAACGTATTGCACCTGTGCAAAACCCATAGTGTATTACATGTATGCATAGCACTTTGGTAGAACGTCTCATACAAGGTAGTATTCAGTTATGTGAGGTTAACACTCTGTAGTTTAAGTTGGAAAAGTGTTTTCTGCAATAGGCAAAATCTGATGCAATGTTGAACAAAAATTTGACAAAAACCGTGAAAAATCCAGGTTCCACACAGGCGCAGTACGCTCTGCCGACATGCTTAAAATAGGTATCATATTTCAGAAATAGCTTTGACCTGTCAGTTGTCAAATTTCATGACACACATTTTCAGTGCATTTGTACAATGGACATAATCTCCAAGCAGATATTTTGGTGGGGAAAGACAGTATCAAATTGGCCAGTTTGTAGCCATTTCCCCACCCAAGGGATTGGTGGTGGTAGCGACAAAAAAGGGCCACATATAAAACGCAAACGATTTTCCACCAACAACCTCTGCTTGGAGAGTACAATGGACATGAGAAAAACATGTTGCCAACCACCAGCTTCCATATTTGGTAGTGTGTGGTTGCTAGGTAACCGGCCAGCTGGAGACATGATGATGCAATCACTTGTTTTGAAGGAAGAAGCCACGGGTTACTGTAAAACATGGAATTGATCCTGACAAGAAATTGACCAGTTCCTATCTTACATGCACTACATGTACTTGTCTGTGGTTGGCTTTTTTTGGACTTCAAAAACTACTCTCCAAGCAGAGGTTTGGGTTTTGGCTTATTTTTGGCATGTTTTTAGACTTTTATATTAGGCTTGCATTGGTATCTTTTCTGTTTGGCGTAAAAAAAAGATACCAGTGCAAAAAAGAAAGCCTGATAAAAAAAGCCTAAAAACTCACCAAAAATAAGCCAAAAACTAAAACCTCTGCTTGGAGAGTATTCAAAAACATTATTTCACACCTATATTGAGAGAGTTAATACCATCCATATGGGCCAGTGCTAAAGGTGCCTAGGTCAGTCATGGTGATGAAAATATTGTTTTGCTGAGGTTGATTCTTCAGCCTGACACAAACATCCCCTTCGGAATGTTGGGAATTCGCACCAACAGCAGGTGAACGACCTCTTGTTGTTGAGAACTGGGGATGTAAGGTGACCTTGAAGGAGATATTTGACCTTGACAGATGCCCCCAGGAGGTTTCTCTAGCTTTCAACAACAGCCTGGCTGCTGTTATGAACATACTGTAGGCTGGACTCACTGGGAAAATAGATTGGAGTGAGTGAGTGAGTGAGTGAGTGAGTGAGTGAGTGAGTGAGTGAGTGAGTGAGTGAGTGAGTGAGTGAGTGAGTGAGTGAATGAATTAATGAATTAATGAATTAATGAGTTGATCAGAGAATGAATGAATGAACGAACTGGCCAATCATTATTTGTATAGTAAGGTGGCCAAACCTTACAACAAATGTCCATTCCTTGAATTCAGACTGATACCTAGGGGTTTTCAAAAGTACATTACATGTATTGTCGGGACCCCCCTCCCTACTCTCATGCAGGAAGTTCTGCTGACTTTGCAGAATCATTACCGCTTCAGATCTAGCCTCACGCTCTTGCCCTTATCAACCAAAGAGATTTTTAACCTCCTTGTATCAACAGAGAAACAAAATGATGTGACAAACACACAGGCCTGTATATTTGGTGTTGTTTGTCCCCCACTGAGCACTTACATAACATAATGACTGCACTTAGTAACATACTTACTCTCTGGACTATTGGGTCACTATAACCAGGTCATGGGAAGTTCATAGCGTCAAAAGTTCAACGTTATTTAACTTTAGATGAAATGTTAGAAAATTAGTCCATTTCTTAAGTATGAAATTGTTTGTAATTTCTTTCTTCCTAGGTGTGATCTTCATGTCTAGTAGAGTGCACTGTTTTGAACTTTTATCGGTGATAAACTTTTTGGGGTACTTTTGTCACTCAAAATATAGCACAAATGTACCAGTACTTCACCGACAAAAGAAGTACATTATTATTAAGCAAGTTTTAAGTCAGCTAACTGATTGTAAGTAGTAAGTGATGCCAATACATAGAAATATCAGTTTTTAAATCCTGTTGTTTTTTTTGTCACACACATGCTAGCATGCTACTTACTTTAATTTGTAACCGCAAATTACAAATCATGCATTGATTGAAAATAGATAAAGATGTTTCAACAAAAAACAAGTCGAAAACAACTTTTCAAAAATAGTACAAGTCAAACACTCGGTGCTGTTCTCACCTTTACCTTACAAATCGCAAATCAAAGTTCGTAACGCCGGTAGGGAAGGATCGTAACAAAAACATTTTTAAACTCTTATTTCTGTCTTCTCCTACTTCATTCTGATGGTAGCAAAGTTCAAGCTATATTATCTGTAAGCTATTTTAATCATCGTTTAGAAAAAGCGACAGCTTTTTTCTTTGTTGCTGGGCTGCTTTTTTGCAACTTTGAGTCCAAACCCCCCTTACGTCTAGTGGAAGATTCTTGCGGTACGGTAAGGTCGACAAGCCTTGATCTTTGTACTCCCCAGTCCTTAATTCACGCGTCTATCGAACCCTGCGTAGCAACTGACCAATGTGCTCCAAAAACATGTTGTTGAGCGATGTTGATTGAGTGGGTGTTCACTAAAAGTAAAGCAGCGTGTCAGCACAATAAAAGCCCTTTGATTTATACATTGTTTTGTAGTTGAGAAAAATTACAGCGTACTTTAGATTTTGACACTTGAAAGTTGAATAAATACCTCTAAAAGTGGTAAAGTTATGACACAAATAATAACTCTTTGCTATTAGTAAAAACAGTAACTGTGGAATAAATCTCTTGAACTGAATGAAAGGAAAACTTAATTGCACATTGTCAAGAATTGTACAAGGTACAACAAATTGCATCTACAACTAGCCTGGGTGCCATCCTCCACAGTTACTGCTGGCTCCCTATTGTCACTTGCAAATATAGACAGAAAAGAGACAGTAGTAACTACAGACTCTACTACATTGGATTGCACCCGGGCAATCTACAGCCTTAATAATAATAATAGTATACATTCAAGTCATGTAACTACATGTAGTATACTATTAAACTTTTCCACACACCTTTACATCAAGCACCACAAAGAACTTTGTGGAAGTTCATTGTGTAATGTGGGATTCTAATTGAGTGTGTTTAGCAGTAGCAACCACTTGGTTGAGTAAAAAGAGTGACTTTAACCTGATGAAACAATATTAATTCACTGGCTTTTTTGTCATTTGTGCTGCAGGAATCAGGGAACACCCAGATCTAGTGGAGGGCTTCATGAGCCTGGCAGGCTCCGTAAGTCTGCTCTGTCTTTGTACTTTTTTACATACTGAGTTCGATAAAAGTGCTCCAACCTGAAGACTCAGATTTTTTTGTGGCAGCCTTTATTATGGAAATGGAATATCAGAGAAAAGAATTGTGGTTCCCTTCCAGATGCTGAAGAGATGTCCTGCAGTTTTGTTCCAAGAAAACAGCAACCCGGAGGCTTTGTTTCAATGTGGTAAGCAAGACAAAAAAATTATATCTTTAGGCATTTTTTTCAGGTCTTTTTTATTTGTCAACCTTGATTTTGGCCAGTCAATCATGTTTGTTTGTTAATGTGTTTGCTGCAGGTTTGATGGCGTTATCCTTCCCAGAGAACCATGTTGTCAAGGCCACCTGCGTCTTTTTCGTAAGTGTGGAAATCTCCTTTCTTTTTTCATCTAGTAGAAGTTTTGGATGAATAGTGATGAGGATGTTGATGATAACCATAATTTCTTGAGTTTCAATGTAAACCGAATTGACTGAATTGAGTGCTGTCTGTAGAGTGTTTGAAACTGTCTACTAGTAGACAGTTTCAAACAACAATTCAAGCTAGATATTCTCAATTTAAGACAAGTCTGACAAGTCATTCATTTTAAGGACATGTCTGTTAAGCCTGGTGTGTTACACTGAAAAGGAATCGTACAAAAGTAAGAAATATTATTAATACTGGATGTCGATGATGTCTTTTCTTCATCCTCCTCCCCCAGGCTGAGCTGATTGGACAGAGTGTCTCCAACCCTCTGGTGCTACAGGTGGTCACACAACATGGACGCATGCTACTGGAGGTACATGTAGTAACAATTACTAGTATTATCACAATTAACTATATCTGCCATGTATCTAAATTCAATTCAGCTTGTCTTTGTAGTATACAGGTTGTCCTAATGGGGGGAAGCATTAGGCATACTGGCAAAAGTAAGGGACAGCCAAATATTAGTGAAGTAAAAATAATGGCAATGGTTTCTGAGCAGTTCTTAGTGTGATCTGTGAAGTCGGAGTGGTGCAGGTAAACTTTGTCTCTTGCAGATATTTTGTAATGTTACCTACACCTTTGAACATACTTCTCAGTCTTGTATAATGGTGTTTAATGTTTCTTGTAGGTGATCCTAAAAGAGATCGGTGGTAATGCGCCGCGCTCGGTGACAGACAACATGGCGGACATCCTGATGGCACTGAACAAGCACTGCTTCCATTTCTCAGTCTTGTACAATGGTGTAAAATTGTTTCTGTTTCTAGGTTATCCTGAAAGTGATTGGCGGGGATGTATGAAGCTTGACAAGACAGTATGATACATGTACAAAGCAGGAACAATGTCTTGAAATAGATTTACACATCAGATCTGCTATCTGTTCTCCAGTTCACATCTGTAGGTTGATGAGTGGTGCAGGTAAATTTTGGTGCAGATAATTTTCAATGTCACCTGGAGGTATATAGAAAAATCATTTCTAGCCCTGCCCCTCAGTTTTGCATAATGGTGTGCAATGTTTCTGCCTCTAGGTTATCCTAAAAGCGATTGGAGGAGACGCACCTCGCTCGGTGACAGACAACATGGCGGATATCCTGATGGCACTAAACAAGCACTGCTTCCAGCTGACCTGTACCTGGATGGGAGAGGTCATGAAGGTGGAGGGGTTTCCCTCAGGACTGGTCACAGCACAGCAGAAGGAACAGTTCGCAAGGAACGTGCTCAAGTAAGTATTCTGCTGTCTTAAGGATGTTTGATCAAGAAACACCTTGCCAAGGATATGCCTTGTTTTTAGGTACCTGTGTCTGTGAACAGTATGTTTGGAATCTGTAATTTGGAAGGAATTTGCTCAGGTAAGTGGAGAGATCTTCCCTCGAGGAAGGCTACTCAAGGTTTTGAGTTAAGGAAATGTCTTAAGGACGAAGCCTTTTTCTTGAAACAAGCACTGCTTCCAGCTGACCTGTACCTGGATGGGAGAGGTCATGAAGGTGGAGGGGTTTCCCTCTGGACTGGTCACCGCACAGCAGAAGGAACAGTTCGCTAGGAACGTGCTCAAGTAAGTATGGTGCTGTCTGAGGGATCTTGAGAAACACCTTGCCAGGGATGGTTTGCTTTTGCGTACATTTGTGTGTGTGTGTGTGTGTGTGTCTGTGAACAGCATGTTTGGTATCTGTGGTTTGGAAGGAACTTGCTCAGGTACATTGTAAGTACTAGAGAGTTCTCCTCTCAAAGAAGGCTACTCAAAGTTTTGACTTAAGGAAATGTCTTAAAGTAATTATAAAGTGTTGTCCTCAAGAAAGGCTTCTCAAACTGCCAAGTCGTACAGCACTCTACAGCAGAAGGAGCAGTTTGCAAGGAACGTGCTCAAGTACAACATGTATGGTGTCATCTCAAGAAAGGGTAATCAAAGCTTGTTACAGCAGAGCATTTTGCAAGGAATGTTCAAGTAAGTATGGTGTTGTCTTAACCCTTGTCCTGCTGTGCGCAACATATGTTGCGCGGCACATTCAGTACCATCTATATAACACCCTGTATAGGTACGATTTGGGGGTATTTCTCGTGCAACGGATTACACCGCAGCGAAACGCAACGAATGCGGAAGTAACTATGCCACTGCAGGGCAAAAAAATTGTTTCTTTTTAATCTAATTAAGACATGAAAATATTGAAAAATATTGTGCCAGGAATGCCAGCAGGACAAGGGTTAAGAAAATGTCTTGTGTGGCAGACTGGGGGCTTTCTTGTACATTTCATTCCAACTGTTGCTGTTGGAAGTAGAGCATGTCAGATAAAAAGTACCCATCTCTAGTTCAGTAGCCCTTGGGCCACTCAGCTTTGCAGTCACTACAGCAGGGGGCTAGTCCGCTGGCAGTCATTTGTATTCAACTCCCATAGATACTCCAAAGAGATTTCTCAAATGCTGAGTGCTAAGCAGGGAAAGTAGGCTGTACCATTTTAAAAGTACTCTTTATCATGAATTGGCCGGGGATCATACCTGCGACCTACAGTAACTGAATGCAAGGCAAACACTCTACCCACTTGGCCGTTCCCCTCCACTCCCATATCGGATTTTAAGTTCCATTGAGATGATGTCACTGCTAAAATCAACTTTACCTGGCCTAACATGTAGTACGTGGCCAATGGAGGTTCCTTTACCCACCCAGCTAACTAAACCATAAAAACTGACATTTTGAATTGCAACAAGTGGGATTTTGGAAAGACTCCAGTTGTTACAAGTATACACAATATGTATTATATGATTGTGTTACAGTCATATAACATTATGCAGCAGCTTTATGATACATGTACATCGTACAGTGTACATGTATGCATTGCCAGCACCTACTAGGTGATCATGCGCTGATCATGCCCTGATCATGCTCCCCCTGCATGATCACCCTGTGACCTCTTACTGCACGCTGACCTTGAACATTCATGTTGACCCTTTGACCGACCTCTACCAGGTGAGTAAAGGTGAACTTTGGTAACCCAGAGGGCGTTGCACCCCCGACGACAAACACGCTGTTTGTGAAAGTCATCAATAAGTGATCAATGAATAAGTGATGAAGGAATTTACTTCAAACTTTTCAAGCGGCAAAGTCAGCTTTTTTGTGCCGATTGGAACCTTGGTGTCAATGACCTTCTGTTTCTAAGCAGGTAATCAAAAAGTTCTCAGATTTGAGCAACATGTTATATGACAAGTTTCCACGTCATTGACCTTTTTGGTTCTTCTTTTTCGGGCTTTCAGAAAACTGGCTTTCTCAAATAGAATTATACATGAAGGAATTTTAGCTCAAGCTTTTCACCCGGCAAAGTCAGCTTTTTTGTGCTGGTTGGAACCTTGGTGTCAATGACCTTATGTTTCCAAGCACGTAATCAAAAAGCGCTCAGATTTGAGCAACATGTTGAAAAATGATTCTTTTACGACCTTGGTAAAGTCATTGACCTTTTCAGATCTTTTTTGAAGGATTTTCAGAAAACTGGCTTTGTGAAATAGATATTTTTTATAATGAATAAATTTTATGACTGGATTCTTACCAACTAGGACGTGATAGCGCTACAACTATGAATTTTTTTCTTTTTGTGTTGGTTTATTTCACAGTAAGGAGGGAAAATGAGCTTTTCACAGTTGAGACAATTGTAGTACACAACTGTAGATAGAAATGCTTATTACTATATTAGCAGTGTCTTGAAATGACAATGTTGGGGTCTCTGCAAAGACTTAGTCCCTTACATGATTTTCCCCATTGAACCAAGCAGTAAATAGCCTGGGTACCATCCTACTTGTATGCCGGGGCTCCCACAGTCGCTTCCCTAAGAAGT